GGCGGCTATCCTGGCAGCAGGAACAGCGCCGCAGGGGCTAGAGGCGCGCCGAGGCACTGGGGAGGCAGCCAGGGCTCTGCAGGGAGGGCCGTGGATGCCCGGCGGGCGGCCGACGGCAGGTGCGGAGCTGGACAGTGAGGTGATCGGAACTAGCTTGTATCTTTATTTTACAAGACCCTTTGCGCTTACCTTGTGCCAGGCACTGTTCTCGGCGATTTGCAAGTGGTCGCTCCTTTAATCCTCAAACGTCCCTACAGGTAGGACTTGTAATTCTGACCCTTCTGACCAATGGGCCAGTTGAGAGTCTCCCGCCAGGAACTTGGAGAGCTGAGACTTGATGCTGGACGGCTGGTGTCTGGTCTGTGCCCTTAGAAACTTCCCTAGACTGTCTTTCCATGTGGCCCCCGCAGGCTCTGGAATGGTTGCCCAGGGGAATCCTGAGAGAGCGATGGCCACAGGCAGGAGGATCTCAGGAGTCACCCGAGTGTTACCCAGGTGTCACCCAGGCCAAGGCAGGAGGAAATGGAAATGCAGAGGGCATGCCCTGGAGGCTGCGGAAAGAGAAGTCTTCATGGAAGGGGCAGGACTTGATCCGGCTTTGGCCACTTTTCGATTGTTGTCCCCAATCCTTAGAGTAACATTGTTTCTCCTTCCAGGTGCAAAGAAGTGGCTGGAGTGGAGGAAAGAGGTGGAGCTGCTCTCGGATGTTGCCTACTTCGGCCTCACCACACTTGCAGGTAGCAGCCCCTGCAGGACCTTGGGACAAGGGCCCAAAGACACACTAGGTCCAGAGGACAGACGGAGAAGGGACTGCAGGCAGTGTGAGAGGCTCCTGCAGCAGGCCTGGGTGGCGCTGCCTTCGGAAAGGAGGGCACCCCGAGCCCGAGTGGGAGGTGCTGCCCCAAGAGCCTCCCCAGAATGAGGCCTCAACCCCCAGCCTTTCATTCTCTTTGTGTCCTTGGAGATCTTGGTCCGGGACTTTCTCCAGTTGCCGTGGGGACCCATTTCTCAGTGGTGGCACAGCAGTCCAGTGCCGAGCTGGCAGGGTGCGGCGGCGGGGCCCTGGTGGAGCAGTGGAGGCCGGTGGCCAAACTTTCCTTCAGAGAAAGTTGCTGACAGGGAGGCCCTTGGCCTCACCAACTCCAGCTCAGCTTCAGCAAGGGCTGCTGCCCTCCTGCTCAGTGCCAGCCCTCCTCACACAAGGAGGCCACCCCAGGGTGCCTTACTGCCATGGAGAGGACACGCTGGTCAGTGGGAGACAGGATGAATGCGAAGTGACTGCATTTGGGGGCCTCTTGGAGGTGGTAGGCTCTTCAGAGAAAGTCTCATTTGTGGGAAGAACACTTTCCAGACAAGCAGAGCAAACAGCGAGGCAAAGGCCAAGGAGGAGGCATCCCCTGGGCTGGGGTGGGGCATTGGGGACCTGTGGGCTCTGGAGGCCTCTGGCTCTCCCTTCCAGGCATCACAGGGACATGGGCAGGGGAGAGGCCAACCACTAGCCAAGACCAGACCACGGGGAGAAAGCTGGAAGCGGGGAGGCTGCGCAGATGCTGTTGCAGTCCACCTGCCACAGGGGGGTGGCGACACAGACCAGCAACAGCAGCTAGGCAGTGACACAAATGGGGAAGAGGAGCACAGGACACTCTGGTTCTGGCCTCAGGGGAGGAAGGGCTGGCGTTGCCCTCCTAAAGTAGGTGCAAGCTTTTCCAGGTGGGGCTGGAAACACGGTGTTATTAGCAGGGCTGAGTCTGGGCGTTTCTCTGAACCCAGGTGGTAATGTCAGGCAAGCAGCTGGCCTGGAAGGTAGACAGCCATGAGGATGGATCTGGTTGTAGGCAGGGCAAGCAGAGGAAGGAGTGGCTGGGGAGACGGTGGGGATGTGTGCAGTCTACCTGGAAGGAGCCAGAGGGCAACAAGGGCCAGCCAAGGTCCAGAACCGAGGACAACCGAGTAGCCATCCATGTCACCTCCTGCCTGAGGTCTCAGTGAGACCATGGTGGGCCTGGTGAGGGGAGACGTGTCGCCCCCACCAGGGGGAGGAGTGCCTGACAGGGGTGGATTCGAGGGCAACAGGATGGGACTGTGGACAGGAGCCAACCAGAGCCGAGCTCGGTGCAGAGGCTGGCCCAGGGAGATGGCAGGGGCACCGGGAGGCGTCCCTGTGGCAGGCACTCACAAGTTCGTGTCCCATCCCCAGGCTACCAGACCCTCGGGGAAGAGTACGTCGGTGTTGTCCAGGTGGACCCATCCCAGAGGCATGTGCCAAGCACACTGCGCCGTGCCATGCTGGTGGCCCTGCATGCTGCCCTACCCTACCTTCTGGACAGGGCACTGCTGCCCCTGGAGCAGGAGCTGCAGGTGGACCCCGACAGTGGGCGGCCCTTGCAGGGGAGCCTGGGGCCCAGCGGGCGTGGCCGGTCGTGGGTGCGGCGCTGGGTGCATCGCCACACGGCCGCCCTGACAGAGCAGCAGAAGAGAGCATTCTTGCGGGCAGCCTTCGTCCTCAGACAGGGCCTGGCTTGCCTCCAGCGGCTGCATGTGGCCTGGTTTTACATCCATGGTGTCTTCTACCACCTGGCCAAACGGCTTACAGGCATCACCTACGTGAGTAGCGGGCGCCAAGGGCGCAGCCACCCAGCCCTCAGTACCCTCCCCCAGCTCGGCATGTGTGGAGCTGCCTCCTAGCCCTAGAACCAACACAGAGCGGCTGGGGGGCAGCTTCCAGCACTGCCACAGCCTGGGTCCTGCCTGTCCCGCTGACCACAGCCCTCAGGCTTGCCTCATGGCAGGACCCTGTACACAGGCCTGTGGCCACCTGGTTGGCTGCCTTGAGTCCAGGGAGCGTGGGCTCCACCCAGTTCCTGAGCCCCCTGCTGCTACTTTCCAGCTGACAAAGGGCAGGGCCTGGGTCTTGGTCCGCGGATATTTCTAGCCGTGTCCACCTCCCCAGTGGCTTCTCAGCCTGGTCCCCACCAGCCGGCTTCCCCGCAGAATCTCCAGCCTGTCGCTGCCTGGCCATCATGTCAGGTCTTCCTGCCTTTACCCTCCCTGCTGTGGGTGCTTCTTCTGGCCAGCTCTCAGCTGACACCTGTCCTTCCAGATTCAGGGACGAGAGCCACCCTCAGTCCTGCCACCATGTGGCTGGCCGCCAACCTCATCCCCCCATGGGGGCGTCAGGGCTGCTGGAGCTCCATTCAGAGCAGTCCCAGGTCCCCTCCTGCCTCCAGTGCCACTCTGGGCCTTCACCCCCTCGTCAGTGACCCGCCCACACACACCCAGGACAGATCACCGTGACCTAAAGCCTACAGCCAGCTCCTAGTTCTCAACCTCCTCACACTCCAGCGGGTGTTGGGGTGGCTCCTATCACCCCGAGGTCAGGGCTGAACTGGGCTGTTGTTGCAGAGAGGGAGAGGCCTGGAACGGGGCCCAAGCCAGACGGCAGGCTCTCTCCGCCCGACACCAGGCTGGCGGTGTGACCCACCATCGCTGTGTGCAGGTCCCAGTCCCAGCTGAGACCTGCAAGCTGTCTCCACCCTGTTGTCCCTTCAGCGGTTCCCTGCCACCATTAGGCTCAGGCTGCTTTGCTGGCTCCTTTTCTCTCTGGGAGGTGGTCCCAGACAGCCCTTGGTCCATCCAGCCTCATGACCCCAGCACCTGTGGCTCAGCCTCTAGCTCACGCCCCCCTCCTCCTCCTCAGCCCAGAGCCCCACAGAACTCTCCCGTGCCCATGCCCCTGGGGTGGTCTTTTTTGCCAGGCACTCCCAGTGAGTGCAGGGAGAGGCCTGGCGCCATGGTGTTCAGCGCTGTGTGCTGACTGAGAGAGCGTGGCCGTCCCGGCAGACGCTGAAGCCACATCCTCTCAGGGCCCCATCTACCTCGACAGCTCCGCGTCCGCCACCTGCCGGGAGACGACCCACGGGCCCGCACAAGCTACAGGCTGCTGGGGCTGGTGTCCCTGCTGCACTTAGCACTCTCCGTCGGGCTGCAGCTCTATGGCTTCCGGCAGCGCCAGCGGGTCAAGAAGGAGTGGAGGCTGCACCGCAACCTGTCTCACCGCAGGTGGGTACTGCGAGTTGGGGCACCCTCAGCAGGTGGGGACTGCTGGCACTCACCCCAATTCTGCGCCCCTTCCCCAGGGGCTCCCTGGAGGAACGCACCATCTCCAGGAACCCACTGTGCACCCTGTGCCTGGAGGAGCGCCGCCACCCCACAGCCACACCCTGTGGCCACCTGTTCTGCTGGGAGTGCATCACCGCATGGTGCGGCACCAAGGTGGGTGCCAGAGGGCCCTTGGCTGCCGCCAGACCCAGGCCTGCTCTGAAACCTCCCTTCCAGTGGGAGTGGGGCAGGTTTCTTTCACAGCTCCCAGGGAGTCAGGGGTAAAGGGAAGGCAGGGAGTAGGCACACATCCAGGCCACACCTGCCTGCATGCTTGCGACCTTACTGCTCAGGCCTTGCTGTCCTCATGCCCACATCTCCATTTCCAGCAGGAGGTGCCTGCGCTGCCTCCCTGAACAGCTTGGCCCCGGGTGGAGATGCCACAGGGTGTGCAGCTCGCCTTCCAGGAGCCAGGCTGCCTGGGGCCACCTTGCAGGTGTTGCACATACCAGCAGCAGGGAGTCTACATGCAGCCAGCTAGGCTGGTCCTTGGCCATATTGGTTTACAAAACAGGGCCAGGACACAGCATTCGTCCCCAGAAACCCTCCCAGACACTCGGCAGCCAGTGTGTGTGGAGCTTGGAGCCCAGTGTCCTTCCCCCACACGTGCAAGGTATCAGGCAAAGCCTGTGTCCAAGGCAGTCCCGGCGTACCTCCATGAAGTGGCCTGAGGGAGCCTCAAAGGGCAGGGCCGGCACGCCTGCCTGGCAGCCCTGAGGTGTCCATCAAGCCTAAGGCCTCAGCTCTGAAGCTCCTGCTGGGCTGGGCCACCAGCTGTGCTGGATGCAGGCGGGGCTTGGCTACCAGGAGGGCCTGCTGTGCTGGCCTCGTCCTGATTGCCCGGCCTTGAACGGCTGGCAGAGGCCCCAGTGCAGGGACACCTGGTATCTGTGGGCACTGCTGCCCCTCACCCGGCTCCACTGTGCGTCCCCACTGGGACTCAGTTCTTCTGGAGGAAGGCCAGCTTTTCCTTGCTTGTGAGTTGGAGAACTAGGTATTCACACCCGTGTTATGGATCCAGGTGCCAGGGCCAGAGATACCAGTGGGGCCATTGCCCAGTGGGGCTGTTGACCTCTCCCCTCCACAGACGGAGTGTCCCCTCTGCCGGGAGAGGTTTCGTCCCCAGAAGCTCGTCTACCTTCGCCACTACCGTTGACCTGACGCCCAGATGGGGCCCGAGTGGATGGAAAGACCTGAGTCGGAATGTTGAGAAAAACGTATCAAGATTTACTTGCACAGAAACTATACAGTTCTTATATGCTCTGGTTTTTGTCACATGAGGTACTACACCGACCACCAGGGGAGGACAGGAACCCACTGCCTGAGGCTCAGGCAGGGCCTAGGGCCAAGGCCCGGATGGGAGAATGTCTAGCCCTGCCTGGTGCAGTGGTCTCTGGTGAAGCCCACTTATTTGGACAAGGCTTCAGGTTGCTCCCCCAGACTACACAGCTGAAAACTAACTTCCGAAGTAGGCCAAAAGGAAATGTATTCGCTTGTGTGAAAATGACTCTGACACTGGTGGGTATTTAAGGCAGCGGACTGCGTGCATGCTGCATCGGAGGCGGCACAGGGATATACGGCTGCTTCAGCCAGGTGGTTAGAGGCAGCCCCATAGCTGCCCACAAGGAGGCAGAGGCCCCTGCAGGATGTCGCGGCAGAGTGAGTCCCTCAGGACTTGATGGCAAGACCACACGGGAGTACAGACCAAGGTTGGCATTGCTACCTGAAATGTTTGGCACGTACCATTTAATACACATTGAGTTTGCTTCCAGTTTTACAAAGTGGAAATCTGTGTCCCAGCCTCAATACAAACTTAGAGAGGCTTCTGCTGGGGGGGGGGGGCGTTGCAACTTGAGCAAGAGGTTTTCCGTTTTCCTAACACCTAACCCATAAATGCTCTTGGGAGCCCAATCCTCCACAGGGAGGCCAGGGTAGGCAGGCTTACACGGAGCTACTCCATGTCCAGCCCACTTCCAGCCTGTGCTTACTACTTCAAGAGACAGAATTCACTGTAGGCATTCCACAGAAATACTGGCACATTCATAATGCAAGAGTGAGCTGAGATTTCATAAAACCAGTGTAAAAATGCCCCGCCTGGCCCTCTGGGCACCAGCTGTCAGCAGAGACCTGCTGCAAACCATGACATGCCAGCCTGGGAGTGAAGAGTCCTCTCCTGTGACATGTCTGCCTAAGAGTGGACAGGCCTCTGCGGTCCTGGGTTGGTCAAGGTCAGCTTGCCAGAGATGGGGGCTGTGATCCCTTAGACTGGGAGCAGCACCAGGAGGTACTGGGGCCGCGGCAGGTGCCTCCATGGTTCACACACACAGAGCAAAGTCCTACAGGAGAGCCAAGCTCAGCTCTCTACGGCCCCATCAGTGCCCAATCCTTCTGTCCACACTGCTCTGACCAAGCACACATGGTTTCCTATCACATCTCATCTGAGGGAAACAGTATAAAAGATGAAAAACAAGCTGGGCTCAGTGGCTCAGCCTGTAATCCCGCGCTTTGGGAGCCCATGGGTTCGTGACCCGCCTAGGCAACTTGGTGAGACCTCATCTCTACAATAAATAAATTAGCTGGGCGTGGTAGTGAGCGCCTGTAGTTACAGCTACTTGGAAGGCTGAGGCGGAAGGACCGCCAGAGCCCAGCAGGTCGAGGCTACGGTGGCCGGGAGCATGCCACTGCGCTCCAGTCTGGGAGAGTGAGACTCCAACTCAAAAAAAAAAAGAAAAATGAAAAACAAAAACATCCAGAGTTTGAGAACCCCAAGTGTGTCAGACTGGTGACAAGAGTATCAGTTTGGATCGCCATGGGCTATGCTGGACCAGGTATACAAAGGGCATCAACATGGCCTCACAAGGAGTCTGTAGGTAGGCAAACATTGGCAAAGGAAAATCCAGATATGAACACAATCAGTATCGAGATCACAAGACGGATGGGAACACTGCCCGGTGGAGGGGCTGGACACCCAGGGGCTGGGAGAAAGGACATTCCATGCGCTTCAGCATCCTGCATGCAACCACAGTGTGTTCTGCTGTTAGCAAAAACCGTTCACCTTTCAGGGGGCCAAGAGACAGCCAGGTACACGTCATGTTCCAGATACAGACTACATGGGAAAGGGGGCACTGTTTAATAAAGGTGGGATTAAAAAAATCACTTAGAAAAATGTTTATGAGTATTTTATCACATCGAAAAAGCCGACATGCAGGTGTGTTCCATGTGCTGCACCCTTGCAAAGAAGTTGAGAGTGAAGCCACGCACGGCCGGCTCTTCCCAGCCCCACTTCCCTGGGGGCCAGCGCAAAACAGACTTCGTCAAAACAAGGCAGAGTTCACATATCAAAGAAATGTGTCAAAATAATCTCAAACAATTAAAATATAATATATATTTATAATTCCAGGCCCTCCAAAGCAATCACGGTAGTTACGAACAAAGTTTTGAGTCATCAGAATAGAGGCCAACCGGAAACATCTCGAGAGAGATGAAGTCAGGAAACTGGCATTGGAACCCATGACTTGAAAGCCACCTTTCAACTTTAAGTTCTCTCACACCGGGAGTCAAGCCGGCATCGGCCCGGGGGCCTGGAGTGGTCATGACGGGGGCAGGCAGCCCGGCGGAGAGCGGCCGAGTCTTCCCTTGAAGTCTCGCGTGTCGGCCCACCAGCCACCCGCCCTGGCTCCCGCGGGCCTCTGCCTGCCTGGTCTCCCGCCTGCAGTCGGCAGACTCCATCCGTGTGACACACTCGAAGGTCACAAGAGAGCAATCCATGTGATTCGGTTTAAATGCCAGTTTCTTCAAGAACCTGATATTTCAGTGACAAATCACCGAAGCTCCTTTTTAAAAAGAAAATTAAACTCCCTTGTAATCAACTACTTTATGTGAAGAAAAAAGGCATTGTTACAATGGCTCAAAACCGTCTTGCAGTGCGGGCAGCCAGTCCGGTTCCTAGCTGGCGAACGTCTTGCCTGCGTCCTCCTTGCCTTTGTACCGCCGCTTGCCATGCGTGAACGGGATGTACCGGTACTTGATCATGTGCTGGGGACAGACGGACTCGTTACCTCAGGCACCTTCCCTCCTACACCTCCCAGGTCCCAGCAGTCAGGCCCCCCAGTGTCGCCAAGCCTCAGACAAAGCAAGCAGGGTTCCAAGCACCTGCTTCTAGGCCCTGCCAACACCACAGATGCTCCCATGGCCAAGGCCTGACGCCCAAAACCTCGGACCCGGAACCTGTTTCATGAGTCTCCATGCAGCAGGGGCCCCGGCAACACCACAGGCACAGCCTGCGGTCCAATCACCCCATGCAACACCCCTTCCTCAGGCAGGCTAGTGCCCCGCTAAGAGGCTGCTGAGACACCAACCCCAGACAGACCCACCACCCCCCAGGGAGCTTCTAGAACCTGTTGGCTCCACGGCTGACTCCGTGTTCAGGGGCCGTGGTGAGAGACGGAGCAGCGACCTTGTTCCACACGAGGTGGCATCCCCCAGCTGCTCCACTCTCCCACCAGGCAGACCCAAACCCCGGCCCCGCCGCCCCTGAGCAGCATCCTCCCTCCTGAGGGCTATCCAGGCCAGGCTAAGGCCACATCTACCTTGATCTGCCTCTTCATGGTGATGCAGAAGAGCATGATGAAGTACATGACCAGGATGGGCCAGAAAACCGGGACGTTGAACGCGTCGAAGAAGGTGCAGACCATGGCCACCAGGATGCCCTTGGTGGCCGCATGCCTTCGAGTGGGGAGACAGGGCTAGCTCCAGGTGCGCGGGAGCACCACAGGAGGCCCCCGGGAGGCACCAGCAGCCATCCGCACACATGCACGTGCACCATACCAGCTGCACCCTGCCCTCAGCCCTCGAAAGCTGATGGGTTCCTAACACCGCACGGGCGGCCAGGCAGCAGCTGGGCGGTGGTGTGCGGGCCCCTACTCGTCACCGTGGCGCAGCTCGCTCCCCCCTCAGCCTCAAACCGGGCTCTGCGCTCCCTCCTCAACCCCTTCACACCCCTCCCACAGAACCCACACTCTGGGGTTCCAGGGCCTCACAACTCACTCTCACTGCACAGGGGCTGGTGGAGGCTGCCACAAGGGGCTCCCGGGGGACTCGGCTGTTCTTCAGTTTACTGACCCAACCGAGACTCTGGCTTCCCTGCCTAGTGCCTCCCAGCAGGACATGAGACCAAACAAGAGAAGGAGGCACACAGCCCTGGCCTTGCAGCTGCGCCCACCCGCCAGTCCACCCGCTACACTCGCCCTGGCTCCCACCACCAGAAGGAGGGAGGAGGAGCCTCCCCACACGGGCCCAACCTACACAGACACCAGCACTGCTGCTCAGGGCCCTCAGGAAAAGCTCAGGAAGAAAGCTGGTACTGTCCACCAGCCCAGCCAGGGGAGGCCACAGGTCTGGAGAGGGAGGGAGGCACAGAGGGAGGTCCACAGCAGGCTGGCCTCCTGAGGTCCAAGTCAGCAGAGAGCTGGCACCCTCCATCCTAGAATCAGCCTCCTTTCTGCTAGCCTCCACAGCACGGGTGCCAACTCGAAACTAAGAGAAAGCCTCAGGTGGCGAGTGGCTCCCCAGAGTCCCTGCGATCGGCACTTTCAGAGTGGCTATCCCGGACAGTACAACCGAAGTCTCCTTTAAGAAGCCAGAGTTGCTAACTACAACAGATTTGGTCTGCTCTCAGTCTCAGCAGCACACTGGGCACAAGCATCCTTCCCAAACAACTTCAGGGGTTAGCTCACCAAAATTTAAACTCCGGAAGCCTTCGGATGAAGGGACGGAACTCCTCGTTCTGCTTAGTAGGCAATGAGGGCCCATCGTCTGAAAGGCAGAGGACCCAGAAGTGAGACTCGTGTCCCTTCCACTCATGTCATCACACATATCAGCTTTGCCTTAAAAGCCTTTGAGTTAGGAGGTTTTGTGTGGAAAGACAGATTTTTTTTTTTTTCAGTTGGGGGTCTCACTCTGTCATCCAGGCTGGAGTACAGTGGCACAATCATGGCTACCGCAAGCCTCGACCTCCTGGGTTCAGGTGATTCACCCACCTTGGCCTCCCGAGTAGCAGAGACTGAAGCGTGTACTACCACACCCAGCCAATTTTTTTTTATTTTTTGTAGAGACAAGGTTTCACTCTGTTGCCCAAGCTGGTCTCAAATGCCTAGGCTCAAGCCTCAGCCTCCCAAAGGGCTAGGACTGCAGGTATGAGCCACCATGCCTGGCCTGGATTTATTCATTTAACCAAAGATAAAATGGGAGTCTGTGGTCAATTTACAAATCAATTCAATGCTCTAGAAGATTCTATTAGATTCTTTTATAAAAAGGCTTCTCTACATTTTAAATGCATTAAAAATTCAACTGTGCACAAATTTTCAGGTACGTATCAATTGCTACACAGAAGCACACAGAGAAAACAGGACAAAGTCACCGCTACAAGAACAAGCCACAGAAATGCAGGTAGGGTGGCATACACACACCCACTGTGACCCAGGCGCCCAACCCTCCTGCCCCGCCTCTATTCTACCCGTTTCCAGGTGGAGAAACGGAGACCCCCAAAAAAGGGTCTCTTCGTTGTCTTCTCGTCTCCCCCAATAGCATCATTAAATGAGAGGGGTTGTTTCCTTTGATATTTCCATTAAATATTCCATAGAGGAAAACCACAGGCTTCTGGTCACACAACTTGAAAAGAGTCTCAAGAAAACACCCGGCACTCAGAAAACATGTTTCTCCCATAACAAGGCAGGTTCCCTGGGCAGACAGCTGTGGCTGGGTTTTTCCAGCAGTGGCAACAGATATGCCGGGAATGCATGGTCATTTGTCCCTCCCAGGACTGGCCAGTCAGGCGTGACTCGGGCCCCCACCCAGCCCAGATATGGCCCAAGATGGCGTGGGCCACTCCAGAAAGGCACACAATCACGCCAGGAGCCAGAGAAAGACCCCCAAGCCTGGCTGCACGCCAGTAGTCAGGGTCCCCTGGTCGCAAGTCATGGAGAGCTGCCTTCGGCCACGGGAGCAAGAGACCTAACAAGCGCAAACTCAGGGCTTCTGAGGCAGGCTGGTTGTCTGGGAGGTGAGGACCGCCAGGAAGGCTCTGGGGTGGGACTGTCAGGCTCAGAGCCCTGCCCCGTGACCCTGGGCAAGTCACACAACCCCATGTGCCTCCGTTTCCTCATCTGCAAAATGGGTGACAGAACAAATACCCACTTCCTGGCTATGAAGGGGGTTTAAGGAGTTGCTCTACAAACAAAAACATCCAGATCACCTGACGTTTCCAGGGCCCCTAGACACCCAGAGAACAGTCTTGCTGTTTCTAGAGAGAGAATGCGGACCAGGTCCATCAGCATGGAGAGCCACACCCTGCCCAACACACAGCCAGGTGGCACCGCGACCCTACCTGAGTCTTCCATCAGGGAAGGATCCACTTTGGGAGAAAGAAAAGCTATGAAAAGATTGAGGTGGTAGATCCCCAAGGCGTAGGTCACGATGTACCAGCCCTGGAAGAGAAGAAATACAGTGGGCGCAAGTGCCAGCCCCGCCAGCCCGAAGCAGCCCTGGGCCACGCCCTCCGATGGACCCTCACTTGGTTTTAACTGTTCCTAAACTCACACATTTACTCACAGCAAGGAGGTTACCATTAAGGGACAAGGAAGTACAGTGAACTTCCATGGTGACCGTCACTTTGTGGATCTCAATACTAAAGGGGACCCTCCAGGGCCCAAGGGGCAGACTTCACCAAGGGCCTGGTTAGATGCCCATCACCCCGAAGCCACTGGCTCCTGATGGGAGAGCAGCAAAGGAGGCTTTTGGCAGAACACAGCCTGAGGGGCACTGTGGGGCTGGGTGTGGCCTGGCCCCCAGGCGGTGCTGGCGCATACCGGCACAGACCCTGGTGGCAGCGAACAGACCCCCTGAGATGCAAGGCGGGACTGTCCACTGTGACTGCAGGCATGTGGCTGGTGCTTCCCTGGCAGACAGTCCACCACCAGAAACACTTGGCCAGGAATGATACATCTTTGAAAAAATCCAGAACCAGGAATCAATAATGAGGCTTTGGAAAATGTTTTTAAGCCAAGCCTTCCTCAAGAGAGGCAATGAAGTGGGGGAACACTGGCAAAGTGCCTGCATGCCACACATTCACCAGCAGGTCATTCATTCTCAAAGTCAAGTTTATCCCATTAGAAACCAGAACTGCACAATCAATTTTAAAAGCCCTAGCTATTCCATGCAAACAAGACGAATTCTTTCTGCCTATGCATTTTTTATAGCAGACAACTGAGCATGAGTGTGAAGGCTGACTCGCTGTGGGGCGCCTTCATGCTGCAGGGTCAGCCCAAGGAACACGGCCAAGCCTGCCTGTACACTGTGCTCCCGCTCCCGACTGGATCCCTAAGTCAAGGTTTCTAGGCCATTCTTTCCACTTGAGCATGGACCAAGTTCCAATTTTTGGAACTCTAAAACCGATTCAAGTTCACATTAATCTCAGACATCCTGCACAGATCGAGTCCTATGACATCAAGTGGAGAACATCCCTGCCACCCCCACAGCTAAATCAGTGTTGGGTTTACTCACTGGAATAAACCCATGAACACTCACAACAAAGCACATGCTCTGAGCTGAGCATAAGAGAACTTTACACAGTAAATAAATGTGTCAACCATGGTCCGACATCCCCCTATGCCCTGCAAAGTGCCAGGAAGGAAGGGGGTGCCTTAACAAGGAAATGCCTTTCATGGCTCGGGGCTCTTCAGTTGCCCTCCTCAGGACACGGGAGACATCAGATGACCTCCTCAGGATCTACAAGGATTCATATCTTACAGGATTGCTCCTGGTCATGAGGAAGTGATCAAGAGCCAAAGGTGAAGTCCAAGGCGTCCCCTGACCTGGCAGTGCTCGCAACACTCCACAGAAGCTTGAATGTGCCCCCAGGGCGGAGCCCGCCTCCACGCACGCCTCAGCCTGCACTGTCCTCAACGCTCTCCTCCACCACACGCCAGATGAGGCTCAGCAAGGCTTCTGGATGCCAAATCACCCCCAACCTCTAAAGCAAGTCTCTTCACCAGAGGAATGACGGAACCGCAAAACGTCATCTTGTCCTGTCAGGAGGCAGGGTCACAGGGCACCAGAGGACCTACACTCAGACAGGATGCTCCAAGGGTGGGGCTCAGGTTGGGGCCCAGACTATCCTGGGCACACAGGACCCTTGCCAGGGGACGTGACAGGCAGAGATTTTTCTCACACGCAATGCTTGACTAAGAAGTGATTATTGGAGGCCGTTTCCTTCCAGATACACCTGATAAAGTCAACCGACACACCCAGAGGCCACATGCAGAGATGAGGCCCCCCTGCCAGCATGCACCCACCTGCAGCAGGTAGACTCTGATCATGTAGACGAAGCTGAGGCCCAACGTCACAACCCATCGCACGGCTGTGTAAGGTGTAGACTTGTCTAGCCAGGACTGATAAACCTAGAGGACAAGAGCCAAAAGCATGAGGCAGGCCCGTGTGTTCCCCCGTGATCCCTGTCTCATGCAGTCCCTCCCGCACTGGCTAGCTTTGGACGTTAGAAACAGCTAAGCCCAACACGAATGACAACAGCCAGAGATCACACTCGTGTCAGCACAAAGTAGTGACTACAATTAACCCTGAGCTTTTCTGCAGTAATTCCTGAAACTGGCTCATCTCTTATGCAAAACTATGACGAGACAGTCTCTCACAGAAGATGGTACAATGACACTGATCCAAAGGATCATTAAGAGGGAGACTGCAAGCACCCCAAAGGCCCTCAGCGCCATGCCCTGTCGCAGGCCAGACCTCCCCTCTGCGGCAGCCACCTGACAGCCTGGCCGCTCTATCCATGAAGGTCAGTGGTGCAGCCTGGCCCAGGCCAAGCACCAAGACAGCTGTGGATGCTACTGTGGGAACCCTTGGCTTTCCACTTGTCTTTTACATACGTACATATGTATGTTTGTTTTGAAATTTCATTTTTAAATTTTAATTATGAGTAACTTCACACATTCACAGAAAACAAGGACACACATGCGCACATAGAACCACCACCCAACTACAATCACTGTCAATAGTTTTGCATGGTGAGCGGACTGCCTGAGCCTGCGGGTTCGAGACCCGCCTGGGCGGCGAGACCTCATCTCTACAGTAAATAAAAAAATCAGCCAGGCGTGGTAGTGCATGCCTGTAATTCCGGCTACTCGGAAGGCTGAGGCGGAAGGATCGCTGGAGCCCAGCAGGTTGAGGCTGCAGTAGCCGGGAGCAGCCACTGCACTCTAGTATGGGCGACAGAGTGAGACTCCAACTCAAAAAAAAGAAAAAAGTTTGTCATATGCTGTTTCTTTTTTGAAAGCAGGATTTACTGAGGACAGAAAAACTCCCGCAGTAGGAGGCGACCTGAGGGGGTTGCCCCATATGCTGTTTCTTAATTAAAAAGTCAGTGAAGTTTTAACTGGGCCCAAACTTCAGCACCCGCAAGTGTTCACTGAGCCAGGCTTCTCCCCAGGCTGAAGCCCAAACATGTGGACAGCGAGGCCCATCACCTGCTGGACTACCCTGGAAGCCCACCAGGCCAGCACTACAGCCTTTCAGTGTCCAGGCGGGGGGCAGGAGTGGGTGGCAGGTGAGGGAATGACCTGAGCAGAGCAGTGACCACAGCCATGTTCACCCACCTGGGAGCCAAGACCAGCTTTGATGATTTTAAAAGTTATTAAAAAGAAAACGAAGCAAACAGAAACCATATGAGGGACAGAGACCAACTGGACCTGACCCTGCAACCTGCACCGCAGAGGGCATGTCCTGGGGCTCCCATACCGTGGCCAGCGCACCCCGGGCAGACAGGAGCCAGCAGCTTGCTCCAGTGCCAACTCCCATCTTCTCCCAAGAGAAGCACCCACCTGTCCGAGCCTCGTGAAGAACCTGTACACCACTGAAGGCTTCCCGTGGATAGAGTCTCCCACGCTGTCCCCTTCGGACATTCTGCAACTGTGGGAGAAACACGCACACTTTAATTCGAAGCACGTGCAAGACATGCACCTCCTGTCACCAAGGCTGCCAAGCAGGCTTCTTCAGTGTTCAGTATTTCAGCCACACCACTTCTGGGTGTTTCTAGCACAAACCATTCAGAAACAAGCGGGCAACAGGCTTTGATGGCGGCAGGATGCACCCGGTACGTGTGCTGGCAGCCCTGGGGCCTTCTCTCCCACTGCCAGGCAGCGCTGCCCACCCCACCGGCCAAGGGAGCTACCCATGCCGGCCACCGAGTCCTCTGGCTGGTCCACTGCATGTGGCCCTGCACTCCCACCCCCCACGACCCCTGGGGACCCCTCGAGCACCCCTGGCCTGGGTCCCTCATCTGGCAGGAAAAGGAACTGTCCTGTCCTCTCAGGGTAGGTCCTGTGCTGAGCAGGACAGCACCCACAGCTCTCAGCTCATGCACCTGTCCATGTCCCCATTTCCTATCTGGCAATGGTGGTAATCACATCTGCTCCTATTTCAACATGCTGTGTGCGCCCACGAGGACTTCACCTGAGAACCCAGGAGCCAGAGGTCACATACACCATCCCACGAAACTCCCAGGAGGCCAAGTGAAGGGACCGCATTCCCGTTTCAGAAAGGAGGAACCCGGCAAGGAGCGGAAGCTGCGTGTCCAAGGTCACAGCACTGCCCGAGCAGGCCAGGGCCCAGCCTGAGCCCTGGCTCCAAAGCACCGCTGAGTAGCCAGCCTTCTGGCTGTCACGCCACTCCACAGGTGAGCGGCCCGCTGGTCCTGCACCGAGTGCGACAGGGGGGCTCACCAGCACCCACACATGTCACCAGGCCTTCCCAGATGCCGGCAGCTACCATGGCAGGTGAAGAGAAGCTGCCTCCGTGTCAAGTCTGGTTTCAAGTCCCACCTGCACAGAGCGGCTGTGAGACCTTCAGCAAACTCTCTGACACACAGCGGCCTCGGCTTCCTCGTCTGTCAAATGAGGCTCCATTAAACACCACACACTGAGGCAAAGACAGCATTCCTCAGCAACCTTGAGGGTGGCCTTATTGTTCCCATCTACAGCTGAGAAAACTGAGGCTCGCAAGGCCAAAGGGTTGCCCCAGCCGATACGCCTGTCCACAGTGGGGCGGGAGCCAGACCCAACCCCTCTGAGCAAGCTTAGAAAGTCCTCCTTCTGAAGGGGAAGTCGGCGGGCTATGTGCTGTGATCCTGGGTGTCATCCCCCGCAAAATATGGCCAGGGCAGTTACCTGAGCCAGGCCACTAGGTCACATCCCCAAGCGGGCGCTGAAGAGCTAGATGTGACCCTGAGATTCCTTTCCTGGACCCACTGAGCAGATGCCAGCAGCGCTTCAGCACATGCAGAGAAATGCCCCTTGGTCTCAGGAGCTGGGACCCAGAAACACGACTCAACCCAAGGTCCTCGTCCCCTCCAGGCGGTCCTCTCCATCCCCCTGGGGGAATTCCCATCCAAAGGCTATGTCAGAACCTGGAGCAGCCACCTGAGGCCGCTGCCAGCGGCACAGGCTACCTCCGTGGTTCTTCCTCCCACAGCGCCCAAAGATTGGTTTACTCTGACCAAGGTGTCACCATCAAGACTTCTTTACTTGAACGGAGGTGGTAAGAGTAACATTAGAAAGGCACCCGGCTATCCCAATAAAGCACATCTCTAAGCAGAGCTGACTCCAGAACTGCTCACACCTCAACTGAGTGTGCAGGAAACTTCCCAAGAACACGCGAGCCCACTCTGTCCATCCAACACTCATGCCAAGCACATTAGAACACGGCTCCACACTGCCATTCAACTCACCACCAATCACGACATGACACAGGCAGTAAGGCACGATTAAGAACATGAACCTTGGACTCAAGCTGCCTTTCAGGTTCCAGTTCTGGCACTGTCTAGGACAGGCTATTTTAGAAAGCCCCAGGATGCAAACTGAGAAATGAGAAAACGGCACCTTTTCCTGCCTTCCCCACGGGTTCTTCTGGGAGTTAGTGGCCAGTCTCAGAGCCTCAGCGCCTGGCACGGAGAAAGCGAGCGGCCCTTCAAACACGTCAGACTTGTTCCTGGATTAGGGCGGCCCGCGCCAGCTGTTCTTCCTGCCAGTCTCTTCCCTCTGCCAAAGGCCACCTCTTCAGAGCAGCCCTCCACGACTGGTCGCTGAACACGAGCCCCTTCTGCCGTGTACCCTGCGCTTACTCTAAGGGACAGTTGTACTTGACAACAGGTGGCTAACTTCCCCAGGACCTCCTACAGGGATAGACTCCTTGAGGGAGCCTTGTCGGGCGTACACCGCAGGCTGCCACCAGTGATCTGCTGAGGGAGATGGCCCAGAGAAAACACAGCAAGAAGCGGGGTCAGCCAAGCAGAGACCGCGAGCACCACGCCAGAAGCCCAGGCAGAACTCGGCAGATGCCGCCTTTTCTCCTGAGACAGGAAGCCCAGGAAAGACGACGCCGCCCGCCCCGCACGTGGGGCCGGGAGTCTGGCTCCGGCCGCCTCTCCCTTCGACCCATCTCAGTTCCTTCCGGACAAGGAAAGACCTGAGTTCCGCGGTCCTGCTCCACGCCAGCACTGTTGCTCCCGGAGGGCCTTCTAGGCCCATTTCTCCCAGGCGGCCGTCCAGCCGGGTCCTCCCTCCTCGGGGCTGACCAGCTGCGCTCACCGGCCCCTGCAGCCATCCACCCAGCTACGAGTACGACGCCTGCAGGACCGACAGCCAGCCCTCACGCCGAGGGGAAAGTCCGTAAGCCGCCCCGGCGGGCGCCCCGGGCGAGCACACGCCGCCCGTCCCGGCGGGAG